ACCACTGCACCACCAGGGAAGCCCAAGTATTATTTTTTTAATAAAATATTTCAAGTCAATAAACAACAAAGCTTTAAAAAGTCTTATAACATATTTGCATTGGATTTTTAAAGAAAAAAATTGCAGTTATAGTTGAAGCTCCTTGAATATCTTTCCTACAACCCCTTCTCCTTTCTCCCTCACCAGAGGGAACCACAGTCCTGAATTTGGTGTCCATTTTCATGTGGACGTTTTTATACTTTTACTACTATGTATAGATCCAAGTTATCTATTGTGTTGAATACATATATGTATATGTATATAAAGTTATATATATATATATATATATATATATATATATATATATATATATTTTACCCCAAACATATTCTTCTGCAGTGGTACTTTTTGCTCAACATTGTTCTTGAATTATATCTATATTGATGTATGTAGCTTAGTTCACTCATCCTAATTGCAGCATAGCCCATCGTTCGAATACACCACAATGCATTATCCACTCTTATGTCGGCGGGTATTTTGTTGGTTTTCACTGTCTTACTATTCCAAACAAAGATATTGTGAATGCTCTAGAAGACATCTCATGGTACACATGTTGAAGAGTTTGTCTTGTGGTACATATGTGGGAGTGGAATTACTGGATGTGCACATCTTCAACCTTAATAGATATTGTCAGGTTGCTGCCAGTCTGATGGCTGTGAATGGAAGTATAATAATTTCTTTTTTCCATGATATTTCCTATGAATTTGAAACTCTTCAGTTTCTTAAATTTAATCCCATTTTCCGTATTGGAAACTTTCTTTCCTTTACAATGGGAAATTGCAGTGGCTATTATGAATCTCTTCATTTTGATGTATCTTACTTAAGTTAGCCTGTTTTGTCCTTTGAAATGTATTTTATTGCTTACTGGACATAGAGAAATGACACTGAGAGAAAAGAAGTAAACACACATATATGGACACTTGTTTTCTCTCTAAATTGTTATTTGAGATAGGGTAAGTTTTTCTTGATAATTTCTTGCTCACTTAAGTGTATAATGTGATTGAAATTTTTGTATTTTATATGGGGAATGGAATATAGCTCCCTTTCTTCTCACTGGAGAAATTCCAAGATCAGAAGATTTAAGAATAGCCTTGGTAACCAATTAGTCTGATTAGTATTTGGCAACCCTGTCTGGTAGAATACTTGGACTTGCTCTTGGAGTGTGGCGATGACACTACTGAATGATGTCCCTTTAGCATCTTAAAGCATCACTCAAGTTTTATACAGTGTCTACCTAAGAGATTCAGCTGCACTTGGAGATGCTTACAGCAAGCTCCCTGAAGAATTTCCCTGTGTTTGGGGGACGAAGTAATGTCAGTAAATCAAAATTTGCCCCCTATTGGCCTAGGAAATACAAAGGCACCACAATAAACACACATGAGATCACATTTCCATTTTGGTTGAGCACAAGGGGAACATTTAATCCTGAGCAGAATGAGAGAGACAGGAGGGAACAAATGCACACTGACTGTTTTCTCTTGTAGTTTGCTTTGTAAAATCCAGATGGGAAAGGAATAAACATTTATTTCTCTCATTTTCTACACTTACCTTTTAAGCATCTTAGCATCAAAAGAAACACCCAACCTGAAACTGTATTTTCTTTCCTCAAAGAATGCGGTGTAAGTGAGAATGTGTAGGAGAGGGTAGAGGTGCAGTGTGAGCTTTGTGGGCAAAAAGGAATATTCAAGATCAAAGTCATGATAAAAATGACAATTTCCGAATACTACTCAGCCATAAAAAGAATGAAATAGGGCTTCCCTGGCGGTGCAGTGGTTGACAGTCCGCCTGCTGATGCAGGGCACACGGGTTCGTGCCCTGGTCC